AGGTTGCAGCGGAAGACGGCAGAGTGGGTTTTAAGAAGAGGAGGAGGTTTGGAGGCAATAAAGATGGGAGGCTTGAAACAACAAGGGAGTGTTCTATGGGGGAGCCAATCCTCCGAAGATGCGCGAGGATCATGCTTCCGTGCGTGGCCACATGGAAATAAAGTAGAGGTCTATTGATTGAATAATTGAGACAACTCGACTCTAAGAGGGAAAACATCGGAGAGCGGGAACCCCCTGTGGTGTCATTCTTCGAAATAGGACAAGAACCCATTCGATGCCCTGATCCATCGTTTGGTGGACGATGGATATCTCCCAAACTAAGATGTAAGGAGCACTTAGACTTGCAAACTGGTTGCGCCTTTTTGGCTTTATCTTGTTTGGCTTCCCCTTGTTTGGCTTCCCCTCAAGCAGGGTCCCACCAAAAGGATGGCGCGCGGAAGTGGCTGAGCGCGTCATTTTTTGGGGGTACCCCCGTTTTGGGGGGTTCAAAGGAAAGTCCCGGAAGATCCAAGTGTCATTTTTGGGGGGTTCCCCCAAAAAAAATTTGGGGTTCCAAGCGTGGATCAAATTTTAGGGGTTATCCCAGCTCAGAAACCGTTGTCTTTTTTCTCTCCCCCCCCCCCCCATGAGGTCATGCCTCGGGGGCCTGCACACCTTGGTCAAGGCGGCCTTAGCGATCCTTGTACATTGAAACACACATGCACGCAACAAACACACCCATAATTAATGTATGTGTATATATATATATAGTATATAAGTCTATGCATAAGTATATTGCATGAGTAGATGTCTATGTAGATGTACGTAGATGAAGCCATGCTCAATGCGTTGGGGCGTCGAGTACATTGCCTTCCTCAACTGGGGCAAGTGGCCAACTCATGAGGTTGTTTGCGGAAACCGCTTCACACATCGGGGCCTCTGCCTTCACGTCAGGTGTTTGGCCTTGCAGAGAAGCACTACCCCATGAACCTCCGGAAGGTCGCGTTGCAGCCTCTTTTGGGTCTGAAGGAGATGAGGGGTTGCGACAAGCAACTGACAATACTGTTGCTTAGTCTCTAGTCATTGCAGGAGTACCTGGAGAGTTTTGCCAATACTATGCCTACTTGATTTTTTGTCCATTCTTTTCTTCCAACGGCATCAAAGGTGAGGGAAGGACATTGCAAGTGGCACTGAAGCAAGTTTGTGACCGTGGTCTTCTGCAAAAAGAGGTACCTCACGCAATAGCAGGGCTTCGGCACTTGCTTTGTTGCTACACCTCATGAGCCTTGAGTGTGGGAGTAAGAATGGGACCAATTCCGGCATGTCCATGCCATGTGTAGACAGCAAGATTTCTTTCCGCCATGTTTTCTCTTTGCATTGTCTGCAACGATCCAGGGTGTCTCGTGACCTTGCACCTAAAAGTTTGGCACCCCACTTCTAGCAGTCCCTGACGCCCGCCCGTTGTAGGACCTTTGCTGTCGCAGCCATTACCAGTTCTTTGCGGCATGGGCTCAAGATGCACTGGACGCATTCGCAACTTCCTCCACACCTGCCTGCTGTGTCGAGTCAGCGTCATTTGGGGCATGCAACCCACGTTCTCGGACAATTCCCTCTGAGAGGCGCCCCAAGATGACGGATTGTTCAACTTGTTCAATGCTGGTTTACCACCTCTTTCCCCGCTTGAATGTGCTTTTTCGGCCTGAAGCTCTGAAGTCTTGGCAGGCAGTGGTCTTGAACGCGCCCTCTGCGTTCAGAAGCATGGTGTGGCCGGTGGTGCAGAAGGCCAGACGGCCCGGTGGATGGTTTTTGACAGGGATCAAGATACCAATGAGACATCCCTAGATTCTGGATGTGGCACCTGTGAGAGCAGTTTGTCCCAACTTGTTGGTAATGTTGACCCTGAATTAGTCAACCAAGCGGCTTAGTAGGTGCACCCGTCTAGTAGTTGACCAGGGGGTTATGAATCCTGGGTTCCAGTGAGCAAATGGTCTGATGCAGTTAGGTCTGATCCTCCTGGCTTTTTTTTATGCTGTGGTCAGTAGGCGCATCAATCCTTGGCAACCACTCCGCGCAGTGGGCCAACATACCTCGCTTTGGCACTTGGTAATGTGGCGTAGCGTGGCTGTGTGTGTGTGTGTGTGGTTGTTTAGTTGTGCGGACGGAGTGCGTGGCTGGTGTGTTCAGGCGCTTGACGAGCAGACAAAGCGAAACGTCCTTGTGGTCGATCCCAGCGAGGCGCGGGGTTGATTTCAGCGAAGACATGCATGAGGATTCAGGTGGCGCTGCAAGGTTGTCAACGTAGCATCACTGCCTCACCGCAAGATGCTGGCGTCTACAACTTCCTGACACTTTGCACACCTCACAAGCTACCGTGTCAGCCTTACAAGCCAACCAGGAGACCTGAACAAGGCAACCCTCCACGGAGAATCATTGGAGCATTTTGTCTTGGACTTTGAAAACCATTATCCTTGCCTTTGACCCCACCAACAACCGTTCGTCTTGCTGCTGGATGTTGCACACGACTCAGGACCCAACGAGACCCAGCATTGCAAGTGCTAGGAGAGTACGGAGTTTTGTTTGTGTGTATGTGTGTGTGTGTGTGTTTCTTCGAATGGGAGCAAATATCGATTGTCTTCTGTCTATAGCCTTTAGACTACAGCCTATAGCCTATGGTCTACGTTCTAATTTATACCTCTGTCTACATGTAAACACGTGTACAAGCTTGCCTGAGTGGGAAATTGTTCGCCACATGATGGATGATTCCATGGTGCATCAGTGCATCTCATGTCATCATATCCAAGGTGCTTCATTTTGTGGTTTCACTTCGAATGCTTCAACTGATAGGTAGGGAGAAGGAGCTCACCCACCTTTACTCAGAAGGGACAGTACAGTTGATTTGCGCAGCTGCCAAAAGTGATGGTTGCCTTGTGGCTTTTCCCTTTTCCCCGACCTTAACCTTGCTAGTACTCGGTAAAACATGACCCAGAGGATTCCCTTCAAGGAAACCGCGCTTGGAATGGTTAGGTATTCCTCCTCATGTTTTTTTGCTGAGAACCAGCAAGTTCTTGAGGTCACCCGGTCACCCTCCCCCCCCAAACCCACGGCACCGGTGCCGCGCCTCGCGAGGGACTCGGAGGCCTCTCCGAGGAACTGCTGGGCTTCAGCCTGGGTCCCCGGAGGGAGCTCCGTGAAGTCAGCACCTGTTGGCCAAGGCGCAGGGGGTCCGATTCTTTGGTTGGAATGGGCTGTGGGGGCGAAAAGCTTTTGGCCCAATGGTTCAACATATTTTTTGTTGCTCAGAACCTTTGGCCAAATGTTCACAAGACAATCTTGTTGTTAAGGACCTTTGGCCAGGTTGTCCGAAATCCTTGTCAGCACCAGAGTCCAACTTGTCGAGCGTGAGGCTGATGAAAAAGCCTTGTGACTTTTGGAAGGACCGAAAGTCAATGGGTTCTGGGGCTGCTCAATCAGAACGATCCGCGAACCTGACACGCAGACGTGCAACACCTAGACAAAACAGCATGGATAATATGATAATTTTGTCGCAAACAGGAGTTTGCAATTTCCTTTGCTTAGATGGGCATGGCCCACGACTGTTTTTTGCTCTGATTCTGAGCCCGGATATGCCCTTGAGGGGCCTAGGAGGTGAGGTACACTGAGGGTTCCTTGATTGAAGGAGTCGACGTGTCGTGCTTTTGGTACTGCGCATTGTGTCGGCTGGGTGTTCCCGACAACGCAGACCAGGGTTGCCCCTCTTTTTCTCTTGCCACTGACGGAATAGAATGGGTTGATGCTTGGAGTCTAAGTAAAGAGCAGTGCCCTGAAGCGTCGAAGCAAAAAGGCGGTCGAAGTAGAACCTTCTACTCAGATGCATTGAGCCTTGGCTTTGAGTTGGGTAACCAAGTGTTTTTTCTTCTACGACTCCTCGTACCAAGGGACCCTTTGGATCGTTTTCGATTGTGGCAGGTGTCCGACCGTGAAAAGCCAAGGGGGCAGTTCAAGCTTGCACTTGCAACAAAAGACGTGCACCGGCTGAATATCCGCGCAGAGAACAGGTACTGTAGTGAATGAGGAATGCAAGGAGTCCGTGACTTCGTTTATGCATTGACTGCTTTTGGACTTCTGGTGGTTTTGTTGCCTGTAGTTTGCCCCGCACTTCTCACGCTTGGCAGCTTTCCAAACCATTGAGTTGCCCCGCATTATACCAACTGTTCTCTCTCCTTGGTATTCTTAGCGGCGTTTCTGCGCGTCTTCCGAGGCCCTTGTGAGCTCACGAAGCTTCTGGGCGACCGCGTGTGATTCTTCTCATTACTTGGCGAAAGTAAGCTTCTAGCATCCACCCAAAGGAATCGAAAAAATACAATGCTGGCTTGGCTTGAGTGGGATCCCGCTGGAGCGTGTCCTTATCTCTGGGGAACATCCGATGTGGACTTGAGGCACAGTGGACAAGTATGTAATTGTGGCTGGGCTGATCAGACAGACATTGAAAGGACACGCCCGGGATAATTGGCAGCGATGCAACTGCCCCACTCGAGCCATGGGGCCCTTCGAAGCAATCCCCAAGTTTTACATCCCTCAGAAGAGGGGCGCTAGGCGCCTGTTGCTGGGCACTAGCATACTCCAAATTGGAATTTGCTCTCCCAGACATTGGAGCTGTTTTTCGCTTGCAGAGCTTGAGGATCAACTTGAGGCCCAGGTGTTGCGCGTTCGGTCCATGACCCAAGCTTAGGATAGCTTGTGGAGGTCTCCCAATGTGATCCTTGGGCCAGGGTGCTGTCTGCTGCCACCCTTGCAGCAAGCTTTTGGCCATGGTTGAATAGTTTTTTGCGAGATGTACAGATGCAGAATGCACAAGCCATGTTCTGCCAATGTCTGTGACTGGTCGCACGCCGCCATTGAAACGCTGTGTGCAAAGCGCGGCGTTCCAGAGTCAGAACCCTCAGATGGCACGAGTAGCCCCAAGTTCCAGACTCGCACAAGGCGTGGCACCTGCTCATGCCAGAGCCGAAGCAGCTGCCGAGGTCAGTGGGCGGCCGGGTTCTTCAAAACTGCCGGATGCTCGGCATGTCACGGACCACTTGGTGTGTTTTGCAGAACACCACCTTGGGGCGATGCATGTGTTGGGAGATTTAGGGAGGACTTCCTGACATGTTGCTGGCCATGCTGGCAAGCCCAACCTCACATGGTGAAGGACGCAGCATCCTGTTTGAAGCTACGTTTGGCCATGCGAGGCACTCGAATGTCAGAGGGATGCCGAGCTGCGGTTGCCCAGACCTGAGCATTTGATCGCAGAACCCTTCATCCAGAGGTGTTCTTTTTGGTCAGCCTGGTTGAACATATAGATAGATTGCCTTGATGCCTTGATTTTAGTCATTTACCAGAGCCATTATTTTTTCTTGTTGTGTTTTCAAAATAAATGCATGCATTTAATCTGCAATTTGTCGAATATCTGTTGCTCCAACAACTTTGCACGAGGGCTTGGCCTGTGCTTGGGATGGAAATCTTTGGAGGCTGTTTTGTTCAAGCAGCCAAGCTTTGTCGACTCTTGTTCCATATGCGTCCTGTATGGCTGGCTATGCTTTTATTTTTGCAGGGAACCACATCAGACGTCTCTGAAAAGTGGTTGGTGAACACTAGATGATGCCCACCAAGGGTCCACTATATCAAATCACAACCATATGTTTTCTCTATATCCATTTAGAGCGCTCACCTTGGACCCGAGGACACCGGCAGTGGAGACATCATGGGGCCCAAGGCTGGGGGCTGGGCTTGGCAGGGTGTTTTTGCGTTGGCGGTTGCGAGAAGGTGCTTCCCTTCTTTCCCTTCTTGCCTGCCTTTCTCGCCTGAGCTCCTTTGCCGGAAGTTGAGGATGTTCGTGAAAAGGTTTTCCTGAGGAGATTCAGGAATGTGCTTTTGACCTTTGTCCAGACTAGTTTTTCCCTCTCCCCGCTCCTTTTCGTTTGAAAGGCCGGGCGGGTCGCTTTTGACGCATTGTTTCAGGATATTGTGAATCACCTGCTGGCCATTCTCGCAGTCAAAGAGGAGCGATGTGGTCGCTGCACCTTTTGACAGCAGTCGCTCAGGGGAGGTGAAGGAAGCCTCATGGATACAACGAAGTCCAGCAATCCCCTCGAATGCTTGTGGTATTTGGCAGTACATTGGCTTTGTGTTTTTCCTTGCCGAGGAAACGCACTAGCATAAGATCAAGTGCTGCAAACGCGCGGTTCGTCGATTTTGAGGGTACCCTTTCAGGGCTTGTTTTTTGCAAGAGGAAGCCGACAGGAAGTCAAATGGAAACCAACAGGACATGGGGGGACTCCAGCGCCAGGACTGCTCTTTGACAGACCTTGCCCCGGTCCACTTCCAGCTGAGGGGCGAGGGAAGGACGCGGAAGGTTGTCGCCCACTTGTGGGTGTCGCGGTCTCCGTGAATTAACAACTTGCATTTTTGGCCCCTCACATTAAGATTGTGATTTTTATTTTTATTTTTTTTGGACGCTCCTTCTTTCAGGGTTGAACATTCACTAAGCTTGTTCAGCTTAGGACAGCAAAGTACCTCGTTCAGTGGCTTGCGTTTTTGCGGGGCATGCCGCTTGAAGACGGGGGTCTAAAGTCATAGCCCGCATCCAGCCCGCCAAGTGGAGGTTTGGCCCGTTTTCTATGTCAATGGACTGGCCCATGGCCGGTTCTTTGGTGTTCCTGTCAGCCAACAACTCCCATTTCCTTCAAAAGGACTCAGGAGACACCTATGTGAGCTGACAATGCTCGTTGGCGGAAGGGGTACCACCAAAAGTCCACAAACATGTTTAGGGGGACTACTGACGCCCTCTTGAAAACAAATGATATCGTCCATGGCTCACATCGCACATGGGTGTGTCCAAAAGTAGGAGGCCCTGTTCGTTGGCTTTTCGGACAACCACCAGGGCTAATATGGTGGACATCAAGCGACTTGCTTCATGTGAGATTCCGCCGGAAGGACTGTGACTCTGACGCTGGAGCCAGTGGACTACGTGGATTGGAGCGAGGGCTTCTGCGAGGTGAGCATCTCATCGGTGGAGACTTCGCCTGGCATACGTGCTTTCTTTTTGGCTTGGACGTGAAAATCCCATGACGACTGTATTTCTGGTTTCACTTCCAAGCCGATTTTTGCGAGATAAGTGAATCTTGTTTTTAACCTCGTGGTTTGTGGTGTCACCGTGATGTCTTGAATGTTCAGTTCTTGAATTTCACCACGAACTCAGATCTTAAGTTTTCATGGAACACTCAGGAGATGCCTCTCGAAAAGCCCCAGCTTTGGGTGCTGGGGCACCCTCTGCTGCGGCGCTACGTCTCGGCCTACGACCTCCCCCAGCGCCGCGTGGGCTTCACACGGGCCGCGCGGACCGCCGCCGCAGCGGACGCCGTGGCCGCGGCCGGCGCTGAGATGGCGAAGGCGCGCGCCCGGGCCAAGCGGCGCGCGCGTGCCGCTAGCCGCCTGGGGCGGCTGCACATCTTGCCCAGTGAGGCAGCGTCAGAACCCTGAGCTCGGGAATTTGATTGCATGTTTGATGGCCTCCACGGGTTGGCGAGGCCGTCGAGATCTTTCAATGAGTAAGGCATGGCTGCACCAAGCTGCGAATGATACTGGAGTCACGAGCGTGTTGTCACAGCATCAAGCGATGCTGCTGGCCTGATTCCACGAAACTTGAGCGAGTGTGTCCTAAATCTGTTTGGTTCTTACTTTTGAACAAGAATCTGAGAATGCCCAAGTTCTACAGCAATATCGTTTATGCAGAGTCATAGTGGGTTTTCTGAATGCATATATTGCAAAGTGCAATTTGAGACGGATCTTGCCAGCAAGGGGGAAAAGGGCGGCCCATTGCAGCGGCGTGTGTCCAAACCCTTCGCAGCGGATTCCGATCACATATGACGTATTTTTTCGGGGCTTTCACGCAGCACTGCTGCCAGAGCTGTAGAAGGCGCTTGCTCGCCTTGCGTAGGCAGGCCCGTTCTTGGTCGGATATTGCCACTAAGATGTCGGATGGCGGCAGCGCAAGCTATGCACTTTGCAAGGCCCCTTTCAGGGCGCCATGACAAAGCCGCACAGCGAGTCGCCATTCGTCGCACCGGTTCACAACCAACGCGGGTTGGAGATGAGGCTTCGCGAAATGTTGGCACAGACATTGCTTCCAATTGCAGCTTGCACCTAGGCAAGTCTTCTACTTGGAGGCCGAAGCGAGACCGCAAGTGTTTGCTTGTTTGCATGTTGAAGTTATTCGCCGCATTTTGGCGGCTTTGCTGGCAAGATGGTTGACTTTCAGAGCGTGCGTCGCACGTGCTGCCCATGTCACGGCGCGCATGAGGAGCTGACCGAGTCTGCTGAAAGACAGCTAGAATGATCCAAATGGCTCGACATGTCAAATACAGATTCTGAGACTGCGGTGCACCAACTTCCTATCTTTGCGCCTCAGCAGTGTAGGTGTCCTTTCGGGTTAGTTGATTGAAACACTGATAGCACCTGTTATTTGGTTCACTTCAGTTTTGATCATTCACCTTTGCAATCCATTCCGAAAGGAGACCTAGGCTCAGCCAGCAGACTCGCGCGACAGGGTCTCGTTACACGCGCCGCGCATTGTACCGGGTGTGGATTTGTTGTTTTACTTTTGGTGGCCTGGTATTTCAGCGGTCCTGCTGCGTCAGATCAGACCCTTGCCCCAAACAAGGTTAGCATTGCTTTCGTGCTTGTAGCACTTTGTTGCTCTTTATTCTTTTGACAGTCCGAGCTTGCTTTTGTTCTTGTTTGTATTGAGGCTTGTGTGTGTGTGTGCGTGTGTGCTTGTGTGTGTGTGTGTGTGTGTGTGTGTGTGTGTGTCTGTGTGTGTGTGTGTTTGTGTGTGTGTGTGTCTGTGTGTGTCTGTGTGTGTGTCTGTGTGTGTGTGTGTGTGTCTGTGTGTGTGTGTGTGTCTGTCTGTCTGTGTGTGTGTCTGTGTGTGTCTGTGTGTGTGTCTCTGTGTGTCTGTGTGTGTCTCTGTGTGTCTCTGTGTGTCTCTGTGTGTCTCTGTGTGTGTGTGTCTCTGTGTGTGTGTGCGCGTGTGTCTCTGTGTGTGTGTGTGTGTGCGTGTGTGCGTGGGTGTGTGTGTGTGTGTGTGTCTGTGTGTCTGTGTGTCTGTGTGTCTGTGTGTCTGTGTGTGTGTGTGTGTCTGTGTGTGTGTCTGTGTGTGTGTGTGTGTGTGTCTGTGTGTGTGTCTGTGTGTCTGTGTGTGGCTCTGTGTCTCTGTGTCTCCGTGTCTCTGTGTCTCTGTGTCTCCGTGTCTCGGTGTCTCTGTGTCTCTGTGTCTCTGTGTTTCCTTGTCTCTATGTCTCTGTGTCTCTGTGTCTCTGTGTCTCTGTGTCTCTGTGTCTCTGTGTCTGTGTCTCTGTGTCTCTGTGTCTCTGTGTCTCCGTGTCTTTGTGTCTCCGTGTCTCCGTGTCTCCGTGCCTCCGTGTCTCTGTGTCTCTGTGTCTCCGTGTCTCTGTGTCTCCGTGTCTCTGTGTCTCTGTGTCTCTGTGTCTCTGTGTCTCTGTGTTTCCTTGTCTCTGTGTCTCTGTGTCTCTGTGTCTCTGTGTCTCTGTGTCTCTGTGTCTCTGTGTCTCCGTGTCTCCGTGTCTTTGTGTCTCCGTGTCTCCGTGTCTCTGTGTCTGTGTCTCTGCTTCTCCGTGTCTCCGTGTCTCAGTGTCTCTGTGTCTCTGTGTCTCTGTGTCTCTGTGTCTCTGTGTCTGTGTGTCTCTGTGTCTCTGTGTGTTTAACTGTGTGGGTGTGTGCATGTGAAACTGTCTGTTGCTGTGCCGAGAGAAGTTTGTTTGATGATTTTGCTTGCTTGCCGCTTGCTTGCTCGAATCGTTTCTTTTTTTGGTGTGTGTGTGTGTGTCTGTTTGGTTGCTTTGTTTGTTTGCCTGCTTGCTTGCTTGCTTGTTCGTTCGTTCGTTCTCTGGCTCGCTTGCTTGCTGGCTGTCTTGCTGGCTTGCTTGCTTGCTGACTGGCTTGCTGGCTTGCTTGCTCACTTTCTTGCTTGCTTGCTTGCTTGCTTGCTTGCTTGCTTGCTTGCTTGCTTGCTTGCTTGCTTGCTTGCTTGCTTGCTTGCCTGCTTGCCTGCTTGCCTGCTTGCCTGCTTGCCTGCTTGCCTGCTTGCCTGCTTGCCTGCTTGCCTGCTTGCCTGCTTGCCTGCTTGCCTGCTTGCCTGCTTGCCTGCTTGCCTGCTTGCCTGCTTGCCTGCTTGCCTGCTTGCCTGCCTGCTTGCCTGCTTGCCTGCTTGCCTGCTTGCCTGCTTGCCTGCTTGCCTGCTTGCCTGCTTGCCTGCTTGCCTGCTTGCCTGCTTGCCTGCTTGCCTGCTTGCCTGCTTGCCTGCTTGCCTGCTTGCCTGCTTGCCTGCTTGCCCTTGCCTGCTCTTGCCTGCTTGCCTGCTTGCCTGCTTGCCTGCTTGCTTGCCTGCTTGCCTGCTTGCCTGCTTGCCTGCTTGCCTGCTTGCTTGCCTTTTTTTTTACGCGTCTCCACGTTGCTGCGTGCATCGACATGTTCGCATGCCGCTCCATACCATTCAGCCAGCTCGAGCTTGAACAAATTATGATGTGCTGCTGTGTCCCGGCCCAGTATCCATTGCGCGCGTCTACCTGCGTTTTTTGCTAAAAGGCGTGGCCCTCAAATTCTAGCTGCGACAGACCGGCAGCAAAGTGGGCGGTTCATTCATCGTCCCTGCCTCCTGCTTCAACCACCCGCAGTTTGCGCGCCCGAGGCGGCCGAACACACCTCCCCCAATGCGAGCCTACTCGCAATTGGCGCGGCTTTGCCCATAGCACTTCAGTTCGTAGCTGCATCCAATTTTTTCACTGTTGCGGCCGCGTTTTCCGGCCCGTTGCTTGCGCCTGCCGTTGCCTGCCAGTGAAAGCACGGCCCCATTCCGTCGCCGCCCAAGGGTGACGCCGCCCCGCCGTCGCCAGCACGGGGGGCGCGCCTCTGATCAACAGCTGTGTCATCCCCAGCTTGCCCCGGCGCGGCTCCAGGACTCACCGCGCAGGAAATCAAAAGGGAGCTCCTGTCGAAAGCCGCCTCGGCTCGCGCAGCGCCGCGTCCCTCTTGGCGTCAGCGTTTCGGGGCGGCCACTGTCCTCACTCGCTGCAGGCGCAGCCTGGCTTGCTCGCGCAGGCCCGTGCAGCAGCCGAGGGTCGCGCCTTACTGCCCGCAGCTGCCAACGCAATCGCCTGCTCGACCCTGCTGGCGACAATCAGGCAGCCCGCAGTCAGGGCGCGCCGCGCAGTTGCGGATGCATGCTTGAGCACGCACGAGTCACAACCCACACGTTTTCTGTCCATGATGGTTTATTGTTTTTTATTAAAAAGAAATCCCGGCAACGCACGTGTTCTCGAGACTGCGCGCCGACGTGCAAGTTTGCATCGCTGCGGGCCATGTGTGAACGCAGGCGCTGGCGTTTGATTCATGCGTGCACGCTACACATGCACAAGTAGCGCGCGGCGCACTGCCGTTGAGCTCACGTGTTCGTTTCATCGCTAACTACATAGTGGCCTCCTTTTCGAGGGCTGGTCCAGGCACGCTGATGTTGAGTGGATGCAAAATGTTTGTTGTCTTGTTTGACAACCTGGCGTCCCCCCACTTGGCATGAGGGCCGAGCCTGCTCCTCTGCTTGAGGACTCCAGTGGCCTCGCCTTGCTTGGAGATCCCGCCCGTGGGTGGCAGCGTCAGGCCACCGCTGTTGTTGAGGACAGCTTGTCCGCACAGCTGCAAACCCAGCTTGGCCGCTTTTCCATTTGCTTGCTTGTGTCGCAGCAGGGCCCGTTTGCTGGCCGGCTGTTCACTGTCCTTCCGGTGTCGCTTCAGTTGTCGGTCCCTTCGCACTTGTTCCGTGCGCTCGCCCTTCGGCGGCTCCGACTCCCCTTTCCCATCTCCGATCGCGCTTGCCGGCGCCGTCGCCGCCTCGACCCCTTTGGCGACCACCGCGCAGCGTGCGCCCGGGTTGGGTTGTTGCGGAGCCGCGGTTGCCCTCTCGAGCGAGCGGCCGATCGGGTCTGCCGCAAGGCGCGCGCTCGAGTCACGGTCAACTCACGCCTTGCGGACATGAATCCCCCGGTCGACCGCCTCGATGACCGGCGCCTTGAAGTTGTCGCAAACCCGCTCGCCCTTTGGAGTGGAGCTCAGGTAGCGGTCGATACCACGTTGAGCTCGCCTCTCTCTTCTTCCGGCGAGCCCCGCAGACACGCTGGCCGCGCGCCCTGCGCGAGGCTCGGCGCCAAAAGGAGCGCACCCACCCGGAGTTGCTGCGCTCCCAGCGGTGACGCCTTGTCGGCTGGTGGCGCGTGGAGAAAAAAACACGCTAGGCCTTCGCTCGTTTCACACGATTTTCCGAAACCTGAAGCGCCGGCAAGCGCGTTCGGCGTTGCTCAATCGTGTGTGCGTGCGTGCAGCTCGGCGTCGGGCCCATGGAACAACGTTATTTCGGCTGCGCATTTTGAACTCTCGCTCCCCCGGTGCGCACTGCCAGCATTTCGCTGTTTCGCAGACCACTTACGCGCCAGGCCCGCGTAAGAAGGGTATGGAAACGTGTAAGGGGAGTGTGAACGCTGCCCGCGCGGGAGCGTTTGTTGTTTTCGCACCCCCCTTACGCATCGCCAGCCCAGGCCGGGTCCGCGTAATTCGTTGCGTGCTTTGCTGTTTCGCGGCCCCCTTAAACGTCGCCAGCAAGCAAGGAAACTTCGAACGGTTTATTTTTTTTGATTGTATAATATAAGATAAATATTCAGATCCAACTTGCCGTCATTGACGACGATGTAACTCGACCGTGGGCTCAAGCTGGCTCCGCCGGACAAGTCGAGCCTCCCGAAACCTTGACCAAGGGGGTCCTCCAGGCACCCGGGGCACTCACGCTAGGCCGGCGTCCAGGGGCGGGGGCGCGGCGGCCTCCGCAAGGAGCTCACTGTCGCCGTCACAATTGAACTGGCCAGGCGAGACAGGGCCGAGGAGCAGGGACTCCGCAAAGGCCAGGTGGGCGGCGGGCACGAGCAAGGCGGAGCAACGGGCAACGAAAGCGGAGACGACTGAAAGCTGAAGGAGGGCTGGCGTGGAGAGAGCTCGCGCACGAGCGAGGCTGCGGAGGAAGCTGCGCGCTTCAGTGGTGCCGGCCATGGGCAAATTCAAGTCTCTGCCCAAGGTCAAGCGTCCAACTACGACAAAGCTCGCTCGGACAAAGCCTCCGAGCACACGTGCTGATGCTGACGCCCTAGAGACAGAATTTGCGAGCTTGAGGCGTCTCGCGGAAGAAAAGACCAAGCAGCGCGTGGTAGTACCTGCGCCGCAGGGCGCAGTGACGGTCACCAGCGACTGCGCCGGCACTCGGACTTGCTGGCCAAGTTCGAGCCAGCGCCCATCTTGCCGTTGCCTTTATACGCTTTGTCTCCCGCCTGCTGCTGGAAAAACACGTGTGGCTCACTTTCCCGCCCAACAAACGGAGATCCGAAGTTCTAAAAAACAGCGTTTCACTGATCCGTCGGGAGGTGAGAAGAGCAACCCACGGCACTGCGCAGTACACAGGGCCAGCAAAACATAAAGCGACCGCGAAGAATTGGTCCAGTTGGATGCGGGGCACAAACACATTTTTTGGTCTCTTCCGCTTATTCCAGGGAGCGCGGGTACAACCACGGCGCTCCGCTGTTTCCGTTGCCCTTGCAGGACGTTTTTTGGCTGTAGCGCGAAATGCCCGGGCCATCACTACCGCCTCCAGCACGCCGCCGGTCCGAGGAATGCACCAACTTTCGAACTTACCAATAGGTTCCTTGGGAACTGACCGATGGAGCTCCCCGAATTTACCGAAGGGGCGGTGCTCAGTTAACGACGACTTGTACATTGTTGCCGCTCCTGAAAGGGTTAGGACCCTGTTTGACGCAGTAGCACGGCGCTTGTACGAGGAAGTCCGCATTTCCTTGAACCACGCCAAGACGCGAGTGTGGAATGCTGCCGCCGTTGAGCCGCCCGGACTGGACACCCTCGCGCCAGATGGCACAGCCTGGTGCGGCGCGGAAGCCTCGCCTGCAGAGGAGAGAGGAATCACGGTTTTGGGGGCCCCTTTGGGAACAGACGCTTATGTGCAGACTCAGCTCACCGCAGTAAGTGACAGACAGCTGCGCTTCTTGCAAGTCCTTCCGACCCTACCCGACTTGCAAGTAGCCTGGCTTTTGTTGTTGTACTGCGCGTCGCCACGGTCTAATTACGCCTTACGCATGCTCCCCCCTAATTTGACAGCAGGCTTTGCCAGTGCCAGTGACCAAGCCGTTCAGCAGTGCTTGTATTCCTTACTTAATGCTGATAACAGTGGCCACCTCCCCCAGCAAGCGGCTTGCTTAGCCCAGATAGCCTTGAGACACGGTGGCTTGGGACTGCGGAGTGCCCAGCTGCACGCCCCAGCTGCTTTTTGGGCGTCGTGGGCCGACGCGTTGCCGGCGGTCCACAGGCGCGACCCCGAGCTCGCGGCAATCCTTTCGCAGCAGCTTGCAGTGCCCGGTGCCTGTGCTTCCCTGGTCGCGGTCCAAGCCGCGGTTGCGCACTTGGTCCAATGCGGCTTTGAGGCTCCCACGTGGCCAGCGCTGCTCGCGCAGAATGGGCCTCGGCCGCCCAGTGTCGAAGATGATTCGCCCGGGTTTGGACGGGGCTGGCAGCAGACAGCCTCCGCCGTGCTCGACCTGCACTTCGCCAATGAGTGCAGCAGTGCTTTAGACCCGGCGTCAGCCGCCATGCTCTTGTCGCAGTCCGGCCCCGCGGCCGCGCAAGTGTTCACCATGTTGCCGACTTGTCGTGAGCTTGTGATCGAACCGCAGCATTTCCGAGTTCTGCTGTTGCGACGCCTACGCATGCCTCTGCCATTCAGCCCGGCCAGGTGCTCGTGTGGTCGTATGTGTGATGCCTTGGGGGACCACAGGTCCGCTTGCCCTCGGGCGGGTGTCCTGCGCGGGCGCGGCGTCCCACTCGAACGTGCAGCCGCCAGAGTGTGTCGGGAGGCTGGTGCCACCGTCAGCATGCACACGTTGGTAAGGGACCTGAACATCGCCAGTGTCCCCGGAGACGACCGCCGCATCGAAGTCATTGCCAATGGCCTGCCCTTGTGGAGCGGCGCTCAGCTTGCCATCGACACTACCCTGGTGTCGGCTTTGACATCCGCAGCCGGCCCCCGACGCTACCAAGGTCGGGCGGGGGCCGCGCTGCGCCTTGCTCGGGGGACAAAAGAGCGCACGTATCCCGAGCTGATGCAAGGCAATTCCAGATGCCGCCTTGTTGTGCTTGCCATCGAGGTGGGCGGGCGGTGGAGCACCGAAGCCGTTGATCTTATCCGGCAGCTTGCAAAGGCTCGGGCCAGGGCCGCGCCGGTGCGCCTCCGCGGCTCTTGCGCTGCGGGCCTTGCCCGGCGGTGGTGCTCGCTCCTTGCGGCGGCTGCCCACAGAGCATATGCTGCTAGCTTGCTTGCGCTCCCTCCCCATTCGGCTTCCAATGTCGATGGGGAGTTGCCCTTGTGGAGCGACGTGTTGCCCGAGCCCGGAGCCTCCTTGACAGCCAGCCGCGTGCGCTGAGCCGAGCCCTGCCCGGAGGCTGCCCGGCTTACCAACAGCCAGCATGCAAAGCCCTCCAGTGCCCGGAGGCGTCCTTAAAGGGGGGGTTTCGGGGACAGATCTAGCGGCGGAAAAAGGCGTGCGTAAAAAAAAAAGAAAGGCGTTAACAGGTTAGCAACACAGTTCAAAATACAAGTGTGCGAAAACAGCAAGCAAAACGTTTGAGAAAACGCGACTCAAAAGCCGCGTCCTTGCATGTTTGTCCAACCTTGCTCAGCCAGCTCCTGGCCTTGATCCACCAGCTGCTCTTCAAGTCTAGGGGTACAACCGCCTTCACTTGCTCTAGGGCTGCTTGTCTTGCAAGCCGACTTTTGAGACTTTCTCTAACCTCCAAGATTGATAGGCAAAGCTGGCATCCTTGGCTTGGGAAGGGTTGTTTTTGAGCCGCCCTGCCCCCCCCCTAAACACTGCCGCCCGCCGCGCAAAGTGGTTGTACCCTGCTGCCTGCGCGCGCTCCAATCCTTGCGCAAGCCTTGTGGCCTGCAGAGGTTCCAACGGGCTTGGGCAGCGTCGTAAACGCACGCCGAATCGCGAGGAATTGCCTCCCAACGTTGTCATGAATTTCCACAGGTTCCTGATCTGAACCTGGGTGAAGGGTACAGCCACCGTCACCAAACCCTTAGAGTCTATATAGTTATAGTCTATAGGGTCTTACAACCGCCGCCCGAAAACCAAACGCAAGCACAGGGGCGTCTATGTTGCGCAGGCCAGTTTTTTTTAGCAAACCCAAGCACTCAGCCGATGGAGAGACATCCTATCCTCTGGTGGTGGGAGCAGGCCCTACTTGTCTCCCGCAATTATGCCCCACTAGCAAGAGCTGGTGCCTAAACCTTGAAATGCGTCGCAAAAAAATCTTGGAGCCGACATGCGCTGAAGTGCTCATCCCTGGCTTAACATCGGAAAGTTAAACATTCGTTCAGTACTGCTGGGACACGTCGCTTAACCCCATGTGTGGAGACGAACCAAGCCGTCACTCTTCACCATGCGCTGGCCGCACGCAGCGTTTTGCCGACATGAGCGACGAAGCGCCCTGCAGCCTCGCCTGAGGACTTTTCCGAGCGGGCCCGCCGCGGACAAAGCCGCGCAGCGGCATGCCCGAGGCTCAAACGGCAGCGGCAGGCGCAGCTGACGGAGCATGACGCATCGGAAAACGTCATCCGGAAACGCGAACTCGTGGAAATGATCGGCATGGAGTCCCAGCAAAGACGCTGGTGTGGGCGGGCACCCGACGCTTGCGTGCGGCATCCCGGCAAGGCCTCGCCGATGCGTTGGGAAGCCCATGGGTTTGTAGGGTGATCGGTTTGCGAACGGTCGCGTGTGTAAGCACTTGCCCGCGCTCGCCTCCATCTGTTAGCGCGCGCGCAGGAGCCCTAAGCCCCGCAGGCACGCTCGCGGGTGGTGCAGGAAGTCTTGGGCCGCGGCCGCCGCCACCTATACAAATGCGCGGCCTCAAGTTAAAGCGCGCGCGCATAGCCGCCACGGCCTACACTCGGGCGAGGCTTTTGGTCGCGCAGCGGGCACTACGCCGAACGCGTACGCAGAGCACGGGGCGCGCTGCGCCGTGGTTTCATGGCCAGCAAGGGCCTCAAGCAGCATCTCTTGCGCCGCCGCGTGGAAATACGCGTCAGCTTCACGAGGAGGAAGGAAAATGCTGCAAGTGGCCAGCCCTTGGTGCTTGCCGACCGCACTGGCCCGGTGCTTGTGCTCGCCAGCCGGCTTTCGGCGCATGCTTAGCCCGCCTCCCGTATGGGGAGGTATGGCCTTCTTTACCAGCCGACGTGTGATTACCCTTGGTGCCCGGGGGCGCCCATTCAAGCAAGGTTCAGCGGGGAACTGAATCGACTCATGCAGCTGAAAAAAAATCCTTCGCTGCCTCGCCGCGCGAAGTCTAGCGCAGCAGTATGCCGCGTCCGCCCAGGATTGGTGCAGCCCGCATCAATTTGCTCTGTCTACTCGCTCTGGCACCAGCTCGGTGGTGCACGCCCTTTCTGTTGCAACGGAGATTTGCCCCCACTGCCACAATCGTACCCGTTGATGGGGTAGAAGCTTGTGACGCGATCTCTTGCACTCCAGCGTGGGCTTGTCGTCCTGGGCGCTCCCTTGGGCAGCTGTCGCTCGACCAGCTTCGCGGCTCTCCGCGCCTTTTACTGTGCAGACAGATTGACACGCTTCCAAAGATGGGAGCTGACGAGCAGTCCTTGCCAGCATCTTGGGCAAGTGCGGCGCGGCGCCGTGGCCCGCGCCAGGTAGGCCAGCGAGGCGGCAGCAAGCAGGGTTTTGCGCGGACTCTGCAAGGGTTTTGGGTTTGCGAGGTGCGAGCATGGGCTGGCCAAGTGATCTCGGCCGGGTTTCGTCTGGATGTCGTCGCTGGCTGGCACTAAGTTATCCTTTTTTGGACGCCCGGCACGCCTGTGCCCGGTATGCGGGGTTGTCAAACCCCGTTTTTTGGACACCGCCGTGTCATGCACCGCTGACGTCTACAATGCTGACCATACGGGCCGCAGCCCACGGCACTGTCCCAGCCTTTTCCGCGGTGCGGGCACCAGCAGCATGCAGGGGCACTGCAGTGCCCCTTGCGCTTTACTTGAAACTCAGGCTTCTCCTGATTGACCTTTTTCTTTTAAAATGCCAACTTCTAGGCGCCGCAGTGCCAAGCACCGCAGTGCCCCACAGAGCACAACCGGGTTTCCCAAACTAAGGTTCGTTAAAACTCCTCGGCATCGCTGAATTAACTAAGGGTTTAAAACTCCAGCGTGACACTTGTTGTTTCAGCAGGGGGTTTTTAGAGCCTTCTCATAGCTGAAGCCGTGCACCGCAGCGCACCGCTCACATCAGCTAGCGACTCCAGCGCAGCCCGGATAGAAAAGGGAGAGCGTTCCTGTCGTGTCGAGGGTTGAGCTGTTTAGGTTGGAGCAGTGCATGTTTTCCTATAGCTCCATCTTTGTCGCTTTGGTTGCGTTTCCGCTCTCGCTGGCAGCTGGCCTTTGCGGAGTCGACGGGCGAGGACGGCACAAGGTCGGTGGCCACTTGCTTGACTCGACACCAGCCTCGGACCGCCGGCGCGCACGCCTGCTCGTCAGCAGCCCTTTGCGCTGAGACCATCGGCTGTGCCGTGTCGCATGCCTTCTGAGGCGGCTCCTTGTTTGATTTGCCGTTGTTGCGTTTGGTGCTGTTGTTGCGTTTGGTTTTATAAGTGTCGCCCTCGCTGGAAGACGCAATTTTGTGGCTTGCCATCCATGTGTTTTGGACAACGTCTCTTCTTTGACCACGTGCGATTTGCGTTTAACTTTTTATCAGCAAATGTGCAAATGCTTCGGATTGCTTGCTTGCCCGCTGGACTATGGCTCCTTGGAAGCGACGGTGATGGCCAAGAAGAAACCAGCGGAAAAGAGTACCTCGGCTGATTCCGGCAACCAATATTTTGATTTCGTTTGTGACACTGCGCGGTCTTGTGATGTTGTAACCCATTGTGTTGGATTGTTTTTCCGGTACGGGCGCTGTAAAAGATTCTGCATTTTCCCAACTCCGCTCCTCGCTCCGCTTTTCTGCCCTCGCGCTATTCTCGCCTCTTCTCTCTGCTCTGCTGCCCACTCCTGTTCCCTTCGCTGTCTTCACTCCGCTCCTCTCCGCTCTTGTCTCCATTCTGTTCTCCTCTATTTTAAAGTTTGCGCTCTGCTTGCACTCTGCTGTTAGTTTTGAGCGTTCCTTGGAACCGTTTTTTCGCACGGAGGACGCAGGGCTGTTCGCGCGAGTTGGTTGTTGCCCCCAACCCCTAAAAGTAATGCCGGCGTCGAGCTTGCGCAGCTTCCGTTTGCCTACCTGACTCCTGGGCCTCAAGTTGGCATGTCGCAAAGTCGCGAGGTCGCAATGCCCGCTCATCGGGAAAGAAGGCTTTGGGCAACGCTGTTGCGATGCTGTGTTTTGCTCTCGCTTTTGAGGTTTCACTCGCGGTCAAGAAACGACCAGCTGCAAGGCAGGAGCTTGATATTTCAACTTGTTTTTCGGGGCGTGGTGGTGAGCCGCGTATGATCGCTGCAGCTTCGCACATGCCAGGCAAGTGACAGGTGCATCAAGCCAGGCGCGCTCAGCGACCGGATGCTTGCTGTGTTGATAACTTGCACTTCAGCTTGCATGATTGAAGCATCCGTTACGGAGGCCGGACTGAGCATGCGTTAGTACAAAAGAACCCGCTATAAGGAACAGACAGAGGTGGGTGCAGCATTGATCGTTTGCGAGGTTCGACGCAATGAGCTAGATGCTCAGCTGATTGCTTGTCAGATGCAGGAATGTGCACACATTTGTGTAACTCTTAGTCCGTCTTGATTGGCTGAGGTGCTAGGGGAATCAAGAAAAGACGGCTGGGTTGAAGCTTCAGTTCAGCCAAGGCCACGCCCGAGCCAAAGCAGGCGTCCCAGCAGGACAGACTTCGCGATACCTCGCGTTTCCAACGTCACTTGCAGCGAGTAAGCCGATAAGAAACGTGTTTTCCATAAGATTGTGGAGAGAGCTCGTCATCAGTTTTTCCCAGGTGCTCCCTGTGAAGAGCAGAGGTCAGCACGCTTCGTGCGACAACCAAGCATAGCTCTTTGTGGCAATCTTAGTTTGCAAGACGCTTTTCTCGCCAACCCACAATTTGGTTTTGATGACCATTGTTCCATTTTGAACGTGGGTCGGGTCGAACAAACAAGGTCCCCGCCCCACAGGCAAGGCTGGTGTCCAAACAACTGCCACAGAATGTTCCGCGCTCTGGCGTGCTCTGTCAGATTCCGCAAGGTTGCCTTTGTTGCAGCAGATTCGGGACCCGGCTTTAGAGTTTGGGTGACCTTTGGTGAGATGCCGTAAGGTGACCGCATAGACCGGGCATTGATGCAGCGTCTGTATTTGCACAGCTCTCAGTCGGCTTACTGCTCAAGTCTGAGGCTGAGGCATGGCGACGATATCACGGGAGAGGTCACTCGTTTGGCTGGCGTTTGGTTTTTGCACGTTTTCACGCATGCATGTGTGACTGGCCAAAGGGCTGAGGCTGAACCATGAGGCAAGCAGTTCTTGCCACACACATTTGATCGCATTTGTGCAATATTTGTATTGGCCTGCGCCGAGGTTGCAAATGCAGCGGCAGGATGGAGGCGGGCATGGCCGCCACTTGACGCGTCCAAGCGCGCTTTCCGGGAATTACTTCATTTGGCAAGCCAACGGAGGAAAAGTAACGCGTGCTGGAGGACGGTGAAGTGGATTTCTGTTCGGGTGATAGCGCATGCTGTCCGTGACAAATCAAGTCCAAGCCGGCCAGGTGGAATTTGGTTTTGCACGGACGCCTTTGTTGTTTGATGGACAGGTCGTGGGGCCACGTTCAAAGTTCTGGGAAGTACCGGAAATGTGCCGTGGTTGCACAAGTACACTGCTACGCTGGTGACGCATCAAGTGAACAGCAGCCAAAGGGACTGCAAATTTCGAGCAGTCAACTGTGACCGCTGTCCAAGAATGTGCCCCGTGTCATTTCTTTCCTTTTGAATCGCTACGCTTTGCGATTCCAGGTTTATACCGTTGACTTTGGCATCCGCCCTGGTTGTGATTGCGCTGCCCTCAAGGTATGTTCCCTCTGATCCACCTTGGGGGAATGCCTCTGATTCTATTCCCCCCTATTGCCCATCGAGTTTTGCTTGATCTGACGTAGTTATGACAGTGGTCGTTGATCATGATTCCAGACGATGGGTGCTTTCTTTCATGATGCACCTCTCACTTGCTCAGTGCGCATGTCAAAACATCTACCCAGACGGGCGTGTCGGTTGGTTTAGTATGGTTTAGTTCTAAGGCAGCACTGGTCAAAAATCCAAGTTGTTGAGGCGCGACATGCCCGCCCTTGCCTTGAGGTCCGGACTTTCTCAAGGGCAGAGGCCTTTGCAAGCATGAGCCTCGGATGGCCCGGCAGCTTTAGAAGCTCTGGAGCTTAGGGCTTCGTCCGCCGCCAACTTTCTGTGACTTTCCGGTCTACATGTGCTGGGGCTATTAGATTCCTGGTTTTGTTGGTCAGGGATGGTCACGGAACTTTCACGACGCGTCCGACACCAGGCCTAAGTGATCCTAAGCGCCACATTAGTGTGAGAGGGAGCATTTTAGTAGCGCGCAGCCGCCAGACAATTTCTGTCATTAGTTATGTGATAAGCACGCCACTGCCACAGAACATATCGCAAGGAAAACTCACACCAAGACCACAAGCAACACAGAAAGACGAAAGCCAAAGTCGCGCCAACGGTCTGAGGCCCACGACGGTTCGATTAATTTTGACAACTTTTCAGGATTTATAGAAATTCAGCTCAGCAGAAACCAGGAATGTTCCAAGCCACAGCACAGCAGGCACCTGGAGCCTGAGAAATTACCAAGACCTGAAAAGCGGAAGCATCGCCAGAGACAGCCGAGCATGGAGATTCGCAGGGTTGCATCCCCAAACGCGCCTGCAAACCCCCAAACTGAACAAACATGTTGTGGAGGATGTTTGGGAGCAACTGCCTGTGTAGCTGTGGGGGCTCTGAGGGAAAAGGCCCACTTGCAAAGGCCTTTTTGCCTCGAGCCCAACAGGCAAGACTGCCAAACTCATCAACATCCGTGATGCAGGCAGCCAGTGAAAGTACAGGTCGACATATGTTTGGCAGCACAAGCAAGAACTTACTACAGTGGTTACAGGACACATCTCGTGACTTTGCGGCATTTGCGACCCTAGATTTTGACGCCAAAAAGCAGGTTCCGAGGCTACACAAGTGCTGCAGCCAAAACAATATTTTTTGGAGGAAGCTACCCATTCCAGATTTACATAGAAGCGCTTGACTTACGCTTGTTTTTGGCCAGTGCTCCCGCGTTTGCGTGGTTTTGTCCTGCCCTTCTTGCATAACGCAGCGTTGCTCAATTTAAGCGCTGCACGCCCGGCTCCTAGCCCAAAGCATCCCAAGACCAGTTGACCAAATTCAGGAGCTGGGCGTATGGGTAGCCAAAGGCTTCCATCCCAGCGTATGGCATAGCTGGAGCCATGGGTGCTGGCTCCAGCGTGCATTACTTGAAACGCCGGCAAGCAGCCGGGCAGCAAGCTGCGGGTTTCGCTCAAAAAGCTGGCAAAGGATGCGGGGGGCGCATTTGGATGCTCAGGATGCGAAGAATGCCCGGAAGCTCGCAAAGAAGCAGGAGAAGCGGAAGAAGAAGGACGAGTTGCTCAAGCGCCCATGCAATGTGTGCAACATGCACCTGTGCCGCATTTATCCGCATTCCAGGTACCTCAGGGAGAACACTGACTACCAAGATAAGGTAAGATTCCTTTTCCAGGCCACTGCTTCGAACTGCCAGCGTTTGAGGGTTGCAGGCTCACACTCCACGTCATGTTGATTTGTCAGGTTCCTCTGCTGAAGCGACTTCCACTTGATCAGCAACCCTTGGTAGCACCTCGGCGCCAAGGGTTGCCAAGGCCCTGTTTGTGGCCTTGGCTTATTTTACGTCGATGTTGGCGTCAATTGAAGCCCTGCGTGGATGACTCTGCAGCAGAGGCACGCGCTGCCAAGTCGGTGAGATTCCCACCGCGCACCGACATCTTTAAAGAAGGACAGTCCGTGCCTTGCTGGTGCCACTGCTTTGCGACTGCCGTTCTTGAGCAACGTGAAAGGCGTCATTGCGGGCGCCTTTACTCGCCACATGTTGCAGAGTTTTGCCACGTTCTAGGCCTGTCTTTGTGGAGATGCTATTTTGGTTGCTTTCCTCAACGGACCCAAATTTCCGTGTGTATAGAAGGTTTATAATTCAGGGTCTGCATTTCGTTGGCGGTTTGCTGCCCTGTAATGGAGTGGTTGCAACAGGAATGTGCCATTTGAGTGATTCCTCCTCACCCATCGCTTGCCTCAGCACCCACTCCACCCACCTATGTAGCATGAAGCCTGACTGGAGGTTGTGGGCGATCTCCACTTCAAGATGCTTTCTGTTGGGTTCCATGTTAGAAGCTGGGAGGATACTACGTAGTATTGGGTGTGGTTGTTTGTTGTTCACGTTCACCTGTCAATTGGAGCTTTTGGCTCAACCGGAGGTTTCTCAATCAGGGCCTCTATATGATTTCCCTTTGGCCGCTAGCCACCAACCAAAAAAGGTCCACCGATTTGAGACACCTCCAACGGCCTGCAGGAGAAGTGGGCGACGAGTTCTTCGTGCTACGGCAGGGGGAGGCTAGCGTGAAGATCAAGACCGTGAATGGCGGCGAGAAGGCAGGGATCGGATGTCATGAGTTTCACCCACTTTCTGGACTTTAATACTTTGTGGGAAAGCATGCTTGGAAAATCCGACCTTGAAACCTTTTGCGCTTCCCATTGTGGTCCACTGTTGCTAAGGTCCCAAAAGAGGTGCACCTGTTATATTCAGGTCTTTAGGGCAATGACTGTGTTGGCCAATCTTTAGGAAGTATGTTGAGAATTCTGGCTGCATGAAGTATTTGCGGCTACCGCAGTAGCCGCTCTAGTGGTAGGTTAAACGGAAGCAGCCTCAGTTCAAGCAAGTGACGTACTCGAGAAGATCCGGCATGTTTTTTAATGGCTTTACGCAGCCGGAAACACACACAGACGCCCTTGGGTACCTCATGTTACCCATGTTCGGACAAAACATGATAAGGCATGAGTCATGGGGGCCGGATGTTTGAACCAGGCTGGTTACAAGGTGTTCCCTTGTCAGAGTGATTCGGTTTGTTTCTGGAGTCGCGCCATAGATCAGCCAGGTTGACGTTTCGGGTTCTAACTGCGTCAGTACGCCCATGAGATGCTGTTGGGCTGGACACAGCCGAGCCACAAACGTGACATTTGGCAGGGGACTGGGGACACTCCCAGCTAACTCGGTGCAGATATTTGGCTTGACTTGTCCCGAAAGATGGCCTCGGAGAGGCTTTGCTTGAGGCTTGATTTTGAGAGGCCGGGGAGTGGAGGCAGATTGGGGCAGAAAAGGGCATGGGGTGCATTTTGCACATGCTTGAAAAAAAGGCTGGGGGGTTGTCTGGGCTGGACTGTTTTGCCACGTGTTGCCGTCACACATTGCCGAATCATTGCCCACACGCATGCTTGGCTGCCTTTTAGACTTGCCATTTCGACGTTCCTGGATTGTGCGACTGGGCTGGTTTGCTTCTAACCAACATCTTTCCGACGCGTGCTTTTCCAATTGCTTATTTCATTTCGACCTGTGTATGAGTTCTGTTGTTTCTGTCGAACTTATTGGCAACAAGTTAAACTTGATCAAGAGTCTAACAGGCTAGTACATTTGTTTCACACGGCGTGGCATATTGCCCCATGTGTAGGAGTGCTGCCTTACCAGAAATCGCAGGATCGCCGTTCACAAGTGTGTCAGAGGCATGCGGCTGTTTTGGCTCCGATGTGCTAATCGTTTGAACTCATGTGTCAACAGTAGCCGATGATGGTATTTAGAAATTCATGTTCAACCCAAGCTGCAGAACAGGGTTTTTCAGTTTTTCAGGCCCTGGGAGACACTGTTTATTTTTGAGGTCAATTAGAGCCACCTTCGGTCCTCCGGTAAAGCTGAAGTTGACGTTGCCAAGTTGTACTCGTAGTTTAGGGACAGTCCCAGCTAGAAATTGACGCGTCGTTTTGACCATTTGATTTTCTGCAAAGCTCCTTGTAAGCTGGGTTTTGTACGTGTGGGGAAAGACCCAGGAGCCGGGACGTTGAATCATCGTCAAGGTTCTCAGTAGGGTTTTGAGGCTTTTTGCAACAAGCGTGCCAGGTGGTAGGGCGGCTTGGGCCTGGGGACTACTTCGGGGAGAAGGCTCTGCTGGCGTCAGCGCCTTGGTGCATTGGGGGCCCAACTTGTGAAGCCGCACGTCGGCTTTGGGTTCCAGGTTTGTGGGGCAGCCTCCACGATGTTCCACGGTTACTTCAGGCTTTGCCAAATCTGCCGCACATACGCACGCCTTCACACTACACCATAAGTGCTGAGCTTGTTATTTCTTGGGACTGGGAAGGAGGTTTCTGGTGGGAAGCAATGTGAGCGCATCCGAAACGTGGGATGCGTACTCTATCCAAAAGTTTTCCTCGTCCAGATGTTTAGCCCGTAAGGTGCTTTGATGCCTTTTGGGACAACGCTGGGCACTTTTGCACTTGGTTGTCCCCATTCTTTTGAACATCGCTCCTTTCGGGAAAGCCACATTAAGGCTCCTTGAAGGGTTGGTTGGGGGAAGAGGGAGACGCCTGCTGCAGCATGCTCATCACTCTGGACAGGCAAGCTTGTTCTCGGTGGATTGGGGATATGAGAAGGCCAAAGTTGACGGATTAGAGGTGTCAAGCAGTGCCCCAGGAGCCGCGCACTGCCACCATCACCACGGAGACCTTTGCGGAGTGCTTGAAGATTCACCAAGAGGCCGTCATTGTTCTTCATCCCGCCGCATTCTGCCTGGTTCTAGCTGGGAGGGTGCTTGCCTGCGTGCCTCGCTGGTTGCTTGCTTTGCGGGATGTTGCGGGCAAATCAGGCCTCGCGGGAAGGGCCTTTTTCCTGCTTTGGGTTTTCCCTTTGTCAGCTACCCGGCGCCAGCAATTCGAAGAGCTGGGCCTCAAAGACAAGCTCACCTTCGCGGACCGAAAAGCCAGGCGTCGCTTGGCTTCTTTTTGTTGGGACAAGCTTTTGGGCGGAGGTGGAACATGATTTTGACACTTCCCTAGGTGTCACCAGAAAACTTGTTTTTTGGTGAGAACAAACCGCTGTCGTTTCTTGTGAGGTGTTTCTTTTTCAGAGCCCGATGGGGTGCGTTTGAGTTGTTTGCATCTGTGTCGGTTGCCCGGTTTGGAATATGCTCTTTGTGGTGGCTTGGATGAAGCCACATCTTCCAGCGCAACAAATGGCCAATTAAAAACGAATCTCATTGACGCCGGCTCCGCCGGCTC